AACATGTAATGAGAACAGAATCCATATCAGTAATACTAATGGTATTACTGTACGGCTCACTTTTAATTGACTTAGTTTACGAAGCTGTTGACGATATGAACTTGTACAGAAACGATCAATACATGCAAGAGTAATAAAAGTAGATGATAGACAAGGTAGAAGAAACACAAGATATTTTCCAAGTTTACACCAGACTGTGATTAAATTCATGTAGACAAATAATGATGGATTTAAATATCTCATAGCATCCATCATAAGAACTGCGTTCATAACATAGAAATCAGTGATTGAAGCCGAGAGAAAATAGAGCGAACATGGATTTTTTCGAAATTTTTTCTGGAGAAGTGTAAAAATGTTGAGTAATGAGCCAAGAATTCCACAAATATATAGTACAATCAGCATATATTTGTCCATTACTGGAAGGATTATTAAAGCTCGTACTAAATCAGATGACGGCCCAATTGTTGTATTGGTTGAGTTAGACATATTTTACTCGTAATGAATGTATGCTATATGATAAATGAAAGTGAAAGTTCTTCGTTCTGTTTTTCTATTTCAAGAATAAGATAGCGATGTAATTACAAAACTTTGAAGATACGTATAATTATGTCAACTAGTTTCAAATTACGAACGTTCTCTTGTTGACCGTAATAGTACTCCATATACTCTTGAAACATGCGTTAAATGAGCGATATTTGTTGATCTTGGAAGCTTCTACTTAACAAGTTGAGTAAAGGCTGTGGGTATGAGTGAAGAGTAGGTTCACATCTACACCCTCAAATTTGTTTTTTGGTAAGAATTGATCAATTGTTGAATGACTATTTCATTCTGTAGAATAAGTTCGGTTCGAAATTTTTAAGATTTGATATTCACGATTCTGCTCTATAAAAATTTTTCTAAATCTAGGGAAAAGATTTTTTTCCACCAAATATTTGTAATATTATCTCTAATTAATGGAGGAGAGAACGAAAAAAAGTATTTAAGCTTGAGGATGGAGTCAAATATTTTCTTCGCTGGTTCTTACTTTAATAACAGCATTCAGGGCGAGATTTTATTATCTAAGACTTATCTTAAGAAGATCATATGGCCGTCAACATTCTCATATTAAATAGCTTATTTTGATTAATGATATGATCAATCTTCTGTATTCTGTCTCAATTTTGCACATAGGGTTGTTTTTTCTTCATGTAGTACATTTCGAAATGAAAACTCGTTGAAACTCAGTCAAAAAGTCTTCAATATCTGTCTCAAATAAGAGCATACATTCATGGCTTCTAAGAATATGTTTTGAGTTAGACATCGTCGCAAGAATTCATTATAATTCAATTTCATCTAATACTAACAAGACAGATATATGATATCGGGACATACTTGCATATATGTAATTAGATTTTTCTACTACACATTAAAAACTTGAAATGCATAGAAGAATTATTAACACTAAATCACTATCTTTTATTTTTTTAAATTACATTTCTTCATAGTCTTCCACCTCAAGCAGTAAACTGTTTTCTGTTGTCAGACTGTCATATCTTGTAGAGTATAGATCTACTCACGCACGGGACACGTACTTGTAAAATAAGAACTGCCCAAAGTTATGTGTACGAGGCCGACTTATAGAAATGACATCAAATAGGGCGAAGGGTGTGGGTGTGGAATGTGGAAGAAAAGAAAATATACACCCACACACCTACATCTTTCGTCTACTATTTCAGTTTATTCTTAGTATCAAGTGTTAATTTCCAAAAGTCATAATATATGTCTCTATTATAAAGAACAGAGACATATCAAACTCGTACTATATTTTATTGCTCTTTTGGATAAGAAAATTATTTCAATTTTAAAATATAATAATATTTTATCTTGTTTAAAGTACAACAAGTTATTTATTGATCTTTTTATCAGAATAACACTATACAAGTTAGAAAGTTCATTATGATTTATTTAGGAAATTTATTTAATATTAAATGAAGTCCTATTATCAGATTATCATTTGTTTCCTTTTCTAGTTGTGGTAAATATTTCGCTCGAATTATGTTAATTACTTTTTGAAATTGATGTGAATATATTTTCAGCATTATTTCACCAACCTCATCAAAAAAAAATACGTATCAAAACCGATGTTATATTTGGTCTAAATGGTAAATTTAAAACATTAGGAAACCATTTCCATGCATATGATAAATCTTTATCAGATGGTTGACCACCGTTAATAAGTAATTTACAAAATAATCAAATAAGTCCATTCATTCGATTAAGAAAGTCAGTTTCAGTTTCTGAACGATGTCGATCACCATCTTTTTTTTTCAATATAACGTAGTTTTCTTAAAAAGAAAAATTGTTAGTACAATCCGTACTAGATTAAGATGTGAAAAACAATATAGCTCCTATTGTTAATCATAAGGAGATTACTTTATTCTAACTATTTTGGGGTCTATTTCTTCATAATGCTTTTGTTTAATTCTCCAGAAGTGGAATAATGATGTAATTCATAGATTATAATTAGACTTAATTGATATGAGCTCTTTGATTGTATATCAACATGGTCTGTGGTGAAGGTAGAAGTTACAGATTTCTGTTCTATATACGTCAATACTCCTTTATGATCGTATTTCACAAGAATCAAAGAAAATATATTATAAGTTATTTTATATATTTACTCTAAATGTTGTCTATCATTCATAGTTGATAGCCACTTTGGATAGAATGGTATTGTATGTGGACATTTTTTATGTAGATAATCAAGAGAATAATGCAAAATTCTGGATGTTGCTGATTTTTACTAAGATCACCAATTAATGGTAAAAAAATTCTGTTTTTGTATCATTTAAATCACCATCAAACAATCGTTCAAGAATAAGTGTTGCAAGCTTTGATAAACATAACAAACATTCTATAAATATATTTATTTCAAAATAAGATAAAATATTGATATAAGAAATTATTACCTTCTTCATTTGATATACGAATTATTTGATTATTTATTGTTTGTTCTTGTCGATTTAGAAATTGAAATAATTCATTTTTTAATGTATTCAAGTGTTCCTTACATAATTTATTCAGAATATTGTTTATACAAGTTGCTAATTGTTTTAGACGTAGTAAATCTATTGTTGAATAACGTTTCTCATATTGTTCAACTTTGGATGATAATCTTTCATATTCAACACGTGTTTCTTATGTAAGATCACCAATATCAGTCATCGGTACTAATGATGATGCTTAAGGGCTAACAGATGGAATCGGTTGCACTGAAGAAGGTATAACTGTTGATTATGAAGGCATAAGGAGTGTAGATTTGAGTGTATAAGAACGAAATAGTTACACACAACATCCTATTCTATGGAAATGATTGTCTAGGCACTCAGCATTAAAAAAACTCTTCATAATCGCTAAATTTCAAGATCTTAAATTACTTTCCCAATGTGAAGAGATATCGATGCGATCTATCTGACTAAGATGGTTCTAGAAGTTTCGTTCTAAATTCCATGCAATTTATATCTTTCATAAAATTGGGTGTCGGTGAGGATGTGAGACGAGGACAAAGAAGTTCTACATCTACATCCACACTTGCTAGGATTATCAATCACACCAAGAGTATATGAAAAGGTGTATAACGCGGTATGACAAAGCGCTCAAGGTGATTATTTAATTAAAGAGGGGTTGCAAAACGGTGAACGAATGCCTCTATTTTATGAACTTTTCAACGTTTAAGACAGAGTTATATAACAGATCCTTAAAGTATCAAAGCGATCGAAAACTCGCTAGCAGTTAGTCAATACGTAGGCGCAGTAAAACAAAATACTGTACCGCAAAACACAATTAAACTAAACCGTTTCATTCTATCCACTTCCAAAACTGTTGGAAAATTATAATTACAGCTAAATGACAAAAAGAAAAGTGAAAAGTGAATTGTTGTCTTTTGTTTCTCTCATAAGATACTCCACAACTATTAGCAGAGCTAAACTAAGATAAAGAAAGTTAAATTAAAAATGCTGTTTCAATTTTTTCCAAAAGACTGTCGAAAACGATCACGATAACTAAACTAGGTAAAATAAAAGTAAAATAGATTTTATTATATTTTTCTCCATAAAAACCCCGATAACAATCCAGAAAGCAAGTCGCAGAAAGAAAAAATACGTACACTAACTTCTTCCATTCTTCTTATGAAATGCTGGACGAATATCACCAGAATTAAATCGAAGGAAAAATTAAACTAAACTAATTTATTCCATTTCTCTTATAAAAAGCAGAAAAATTATTTCCGAAACTAATTTGGAAAAATAAAACTAACTGATTCAGTGTCCTCCAATATAATGCTCGACAATCATCGAAATAACCAAACGAGAAAAAGAAAACTGAAATCACTTCTATGATTCTATTATCGTTTTTTAAAAAGAACAAAAGTGAATAGAATACTTATAACTTTTTAACGAAAAGAGCTGTAGAACTGCGGTTTTCAATCTTCGAAAGAGGGTAGTGGGGAAGGGGAAACATAAATGTATGAAAAATTTGATTGGTCAGAAATTAACCAATCAGGTGAATTTTCTTGTGATATTTTGAGATTGACAAAATGACAATTTATCCTAGTTGATTTCAAAGTCCAAAGTGATTATACGATAGAAAAAGTTGTTCTCTTTCAATCTGCACAAGACCAACCTTGCTAGTTTGTTCCGTTCAGGAGTTGTGGGTGTGGGTGTGAATATAGGGTGTAGATGAGGGTGTGAATAAGAGTATGCAGTGTTGATATGGATGTGGTGTATGGGTATTACTAGGAATCTTATCTCTAATCACATCCACACCCCACACGTTTGTCTCGAAAAAGATATCGACAAAACTGACAAGGCACTATTCTCATCATGAATCTGTTCGTGTCCAGATTCAAGAAAATTGATCTTTCATTGAGTTTGTAAAATCTACATAAAAAGTAGACATTATGTTTGCTGCCGTGCATCAACTCCAGAATCTACGATATGGTCGTACTAGATTTCATCATTGTTATCCAATTTATTCTTCTCTTTTGCAACAGTTTCTTCAAGAACCGTCTGGCTTTCATTGATTAGGACATGAAGAGTTTTGTTTTCATATTTACGTAGATAATTTATTTGTGTAGTCAACAAACGCAGGATCTTATTTAAAAAACATGTGCATATCAGTCAATACTGATGATCGAAAAAATCTTAGAAGTACGATAATCAGTTTTGAAACGAGAGAGAATCTTTGTCCACAACGTCTAAAATGCTTATTACAGGCTAGCCTATTGCTGATCCTGATGCGAACAGCGTCTCATTTGGAGATACTGAAGTATGATTTCGATTGATAACCACGACATTATCACATTTATATCTTAAGCTTATCCAGCTGACAAGATTACTGTCATTTTCTAAAATACATTTTTATTGTTCACATTCAACTACTCTACAAATTGTGATCTAACAGTGTTTTGTGTGTTTAATGGGACGACTCGAACTTGTCGTAGAATATATTTATACCACCACTTGACCATTGTAGAAATCAATTCGTGTCGAAATGATTTCGATGCTATTATAAATAGATAAAATGGAGCAACACTAAGTGTATGAATAAGAAATTGAGAGAAGAAAGTAATGAATGATTCAATTTCAAGTCGTTGAATACTTTTATCAACAACATAATATGTTGCTGCTCCATACACAAGATTTGCTGAATATGGAATTGATGTAAAGATGTTTACGATGATTTCTGCAATTAGCATTCGCATTAGATCACGATCTTTTCTTCTAACATGTGTTTGATCACCATGCCTTTGATGAAGACTGTGAATGGTAAGGAAGCCAAAGCTACTCATTAATAATGGTGGTAAAATACCAACTAGAACAATTTGATAAATTGCATAAAACAATTTGTAGAAGTCATAAAGACCACAAACGCCGTTTCGTATATCCATAAAAACCGGTAGATGGAAACCTGCTATTAACCACGCTGCAATCATGATGATTATAAGTTTTCTTGCGATTTTAATTGAACTCCAAGATCGTATACGAACACTTGTTCGCGTCATAAAGAATCGATCGGCACAAGCAAACACGACTAGATAACGAACAAACTGTCCGAGAACATGACTACCATATAGTCTCATTTTACAATAGACCAACGATTGTGATTCTGGAGCAATATGATCAAGTGAATAGAGTAGTGGAGAAACTGACCAAATCAAATAAATAATCGCGAAAACGGAGAGAGCAAGAAGATAGGTTGAACATGGAGTATGACGGTATGATCGTTGCATAAACACCATGCAATTGCACAAATTACCCATAATACCCATTGCAAAATAGGTAGACATAACATATCGAATCAATACATTCTGTACGAACGGTAGAATTGTCACAGCCATCGTTTTCAGATAATCTTATATTCTGTAATATGCGAAGCAATCAACTTCAAATGTTGTTGAAACACTTAAATGAAAACCAGAAATCGAGAAAGAAAAAAAAATTGCTGAATGTATCATCATTGGTAGTTGAGCATTCATCAACTATCATCATCATTTTTTTTTCTCTACTAAACAAGAATAAAGAGAACTTATTCTTAGAAACAGTTAGATATGACAAAACGATAATCATCATTTTTGAACATTTATTTGGGAAAGAATCAGTTGAGATGGAAATAATGAATATCTATTTGTTATAAACAGGAACATAGCATGAAACAAGCACAGAATAAAATTGAGCAGAAGTAGGCTTTTCTAGTAGAAAATGATGTGTTTCTCAGTCTTTAGATATCATCAAAACAGTAGAATGCTGACACTTTTTAAAGAAGATAAATTACGAATGGCTAAAATTATTGTATATAGACAAAAAAAACCATTCAAATGTCAGAAATCTGTTCTTCAATCCTGTCACATCAATATATTTTTCTTCATTATTATAGTTATACAGCCGGAAAGGAAAGAAGGGAGATAGAAAATCTTAAATAGAACAAGGTATTGCACATCCATGCAACTTGACACAATCATTGAAGAGTTCAAATGATGAAGATACTTTGTAAATTACATTAATAGTCTTTCTTTTCAAGAAATAGTTTACAAATTATATGGAAAAAGTAATCGTAAATTTTGATTTGATGTTAATTATAATGGCTCTTTCGAATATAATCTATATAATGTTCACCATAGGAATGAGAACGTAATAACTATTGAATATCACATTGTTTTCGTTAGAAAACGTTGACAATAAATACTTAAATTGATTTTTCTCTTATTATTTGCAAATTATAGATTCTGTCGATAATTGAGATTTTGGCAAATATGTATTTTTTTCTTTCGCTTTTCGAGTTTATCGAAGCAAAATTATTTGATTAATCACTTGATCAAGATTAAATATAATGATCATTGTGGCGAAAAACTTTCAAACTGACATATCAAATGCGTACATAATACGCAAGAAAAAAGCTCCTCCAGCTGTAGATCTTATATTATGAATGGAATATTTCACAACTTATTAAGCTTGACGAACTAATTCCAAGGACATATTCTCTCGACTGAAGGGAGAATCATATGAAATAAAATGCGTTTGTATACTTGCTTGCATGTTTGCAAGCACGTGTTGAGTCACGTGCACACATAGAAGCGAGATAGGGATTTCCTATACAGCTTACGCTCATGAACGTTCATATGAGGAGGAAGATACTGAGAGTGCTCAAAGTGAATTGAAACGAGAACCAAAATCGTTCTTACCTTCTGTAATATGTCATCCGGTGCAGTTTTAGATCAGCTATTCGAATCTGAGAGAAAATATTTGATCGGACTACTAATATGATATTGCAATTTTTCAGATCTATACAAAATGGAAAAATTTCTAATCTTTTGGTCTATTTACATTAAAAGCAAGATTTGTATGAACGGAAAAACAATCGATAAGAACAATTGTATATGGGCGAATCCGTGGGGTTTCTACCACTTTCGGAAAGAAGGGTATTCTGTGTCAATGTTCTGAAAGAAAGTTTTTTTTTTCGATTTTAATAGTCTAGTTAGACGGGTCATAGTCGAAAATAGTCTGAGGTAACAATTAAGACCTTTTTGAACATATAAAATGTGAAGACTCACATCACTTTTTTGGGAACACTCTACACATATAAAGAGTATCCCATGATAACTGGTGATAAATTGTTAATCATATTTTTCACACTTTTTATTGATATAGAGAGCTGAAATTTTTATCACATATGTATCGAATCAAGCTCTTTTATTTCTGAAAGTTTCAGCTCTACAGCGAAAGCTAGTGGTGAAATACATCAATTTTCGTACTGATTTTTGCAATAGTTTCATAGTAAAAATATATAAAAATCGGACACGAAAATTTATGTACTGTAGTCATGTCGATGTATTTCACCACTAGTTTCCGCTAGAGAGCTGAAATTTTCAGAAATACAAGATCTTGAGTTGCTATATATGTAGTAAAAGTTTCAGCTCTATATGTCAATAAAAAGTATGAAAAATACGATTAACAATTTATTATAGGATACACTTTATATGTGTGGAGTGTTCCTAAAAAACAGCTTGAATCTCCATACTTTTCATGAGTAAAGAGATTTTAATTGTTACCTCAGACTGTTTTCGATGATGTTACGTTTAACAGGCCTATTAAAATGGGGAATAAAAATTTTTTTTCTGAAAGTGGTAGAAACCCCACGGATTCACTCATATACGATATTCTCGACATTGGACACAATGGGCAGATTCTTCTGTTTATTTTGCATTCAAAAACAAATGAAATAATCTTAAAGTGGTTTACTGACATCGGTGATTAACTGTACATTGTAAAACATAAATTAGTCAAGCTTACAAAAAAAAATTGTAAAATAACATATACAATTCGAGATCAACAATGAAATATGAACAAATAATGATAGTGTGTTGTTTTTCCTCAGAAAGCTTTCGAACATTGGTCAGCATGCCACTTATAATGTTCTTGCATTTGTTTTTCGGTTCGAAATGCTTGTCCAACTACATTATGTGCAATGAGAGCATTGACCGAATCCAATGCATTATCAGGAGATGGCAAATGACCACATGGAGCTTCAGCGACAGTTATCGGTCGGTCAGGTTTTGGTCGACTGGCACGAACAAAACCGGGATAGAATGTCAGCTCTACTGATCCAGTTATATTCGCACACAATTCTCGAATGACATTGATGTAGGCTACCGTTGTTGCGTTGTGTAATCCACCACGCACTATATCTTCGGCCAATTGAGCATTGAAACGAAATAGTTCTTGATGCATTCGAGGTGGAACAGATGCAGCTCGCAACCGAGATATCGCTTCTCGGAGTGCATCAACACCCGGTGTCAGATTCCATTCAATTTCACCTTTTCCACTAGGACGTGATTCAACAGATGCTTTCCAGGGTAAACCATATTGCAAACCAATCTTGTTTAACTCTCCGACGAGTTTCACAAAATTTAATCGTTGCTCATCGATAGCCACTGGTCGACCTTGTTCAAAATGCAACACCACTGTTCGAGGTGGAAGCATTGTCGACAGTTGAACAGGGAAATCGTAGTCAAGGTGACTTCGAGTACCATCTTCTTCTTCCTTTTTCAGAAATGTTTCGTCTCCACTCGCACATGGATCATCTTTTTCAGATCGAGTTGACAAATCTCGACCAGTGCAAAGTCGAATAACATCGAGACAATCTTGGCGTTGAAATATTTCTTCCCAAAAGAAAATTGGTGACCATAATGGTTTATTGCCAAGATATTCATAAGCAGCTGTCATGAATCTCAGATTGTTGTTCTGATTCTTTGCTGATCCAGTCAGATAGACTTGTGCATCGGGCAACTCTTGTGCCAAAGCCTTGACCATGAGAATACGGCTGAGTGATGAGTTTGGAAAGATACCTGGTGATCCTGGAACAATTACATCACCCATGAGCAATGGAATAAAGTATTCGCCAAGTTCTTCACACATATCTCTGAATTTCGGATTGGATACACCTAACATCGATAAATTCTGACGAATGTTTCGTGCATCATCGGCAATTCCATCATTGTGGATACCTCCAAAATTTAGTGTAAGACTCTGAACTTCAATATTGAAGAATCGAGACAGAATGAGCGGAATGAATGATGTATCAACACCACCACTTAATAGACCACCTACTACTTTGGCACCATAGGGATTGACAAGATCTCGTTGATACAATTCTATAACTTTAACTTGCAGATCTGGTCGTGAGTTCAGTTTGGCCATCATATTAGGATTAGGAAGCATTGTTTTTTGATTTCGAGATGACAAATAAAATTTGGATATATCTATGAATGGTAGATTGATTTCGTGTTGTTCGACTTTTCTTCCATGAATAAATGGTCTTTCATCTTCTATTTCACCATTTTCAGCATAATTTGTACCGTTAATGAATATCGAACTTGGTAGAGTGACTAGCATGTTAGATTCTAAAATTTGAGTGTATTTTTTGTGAGATATCATCGCTTAAATCGACTTACTTTTATATGTAAATAATACACTATTAGCTTGGAGAGTCCCATAAACTATAGTTCGTCATTCAATTGTTTACTCGAACTATGTAATCAAGTATTTTTTTAACATATTGCATACTATATCTGACACAATATGATCATGAGGGATTTTTCTCACCGAGAATACCCACGAATAAGTTACGACAGAATAGAAGAAGAAAGAAAGAGAATCATCTGGTACGCATCAACCAATACTATGACAATGAGGGATTTTTTTTGTCCTATGCTTAGTTTTGTCGCATCAATTAAGACGACATGGAACGAAAGGGAAACTGAGTCATATGGTCAACGTCATCAATCAACATGATGAAGAGATGTGTTTATGCCGCATCGAGTGGCGTCATAGATCAAGCAAGAGAAGAAAAGCAAAAGGAAAGAAAAATCATTTGGTAGCCATCGAATAGTATGATACTCTGAGATTTCTTTAGGCGTAGATTCCTTTGCTCTCCAAA